CATGCTTGTAGTCTAAGTAGCTGATTGGATTCATTGGGTTTAATGGACAAATATAATTGTGTGTCATCAGCATAACAATGAAAATTTATCCCATGCTGTTTAACTAAGAGAAGCATATATAAAGTAAAGAGTATTGTTCCAAGCACTGAACCCTGAGGAACTCCATGACTAACATTCGTGTATGAAGACGATTTATTAATATTTACAAACTGAAGTCTATCAGTTAAATAAGATTTAAACCATTTTCAAGGATTCAAGGTTGTTTATTTGTCCTTCGCATCACATGTGGTACATGACGTGTAGAACATGAGGTGCAGAACATGATTTAAAGAACATCAGATGTAGAACATGAGCTACAGAACATCAGATGTAGAACATGAGCTACAGAACATGAGGTGCAGAACATGAGCTACAGAACATCAGATGTAGAACAAGAGATACAGAGCATGAAGTACAGAACATGAGGTGTAGATCATCATGTGGAAAATGAGGCTTGGAACATGAGGGGCAAAGCATGAGATATAGAACATGAGGAGAAGAACATGAGTTTTGGAACACGAGGTACAGAACATTAGGTCTAGAACATGAGTTACAGAACTTCAGATGTAGAACATGAGCTGTAGGACATGAGGTGTAGAACATGAGCTACAGAACATCAGATGTAGAACATGAGCCACAGAACATGAGCTACAGAACATGGGGTGTAGAACATGAGGTACAGACGATGAGATGTAGAACATGAGCCACAGAACATGATGTGCAGAACATGAGCTGTAGAACATGAGGTGTAGAGCATGAGCTACAAAACATCAAAATGTAGAACAGCTACAGAAAATGAGGTACAGAACATCAGGTGTAGAACATGAGCTACAGAAGATGAGGTGTAGAACATGAGGTGAGGAAAATGAGGTTTGGAACATGAGGGTCAGAACATGAGATGCAGAACATAAGTTTTGGAACATGAGCTAAAAATGTAAGGTGTAGAACATGAGGTAGATAACATCAGGTGTAGAACATCAGATGTGGAAAATCAGGTTTGGAACATGAGGGGCAGAACATCAGAACATGAAATGCAGAACATGAGGGGAAGAACATGAGTTTTGGAACATCAGTTGTAGAATATGAGGTACAGAACATGATGTGTAGAACATGAGGTACAGAACTTCAGATGTCAGAGAGTCAGAGTTTCTTTATAGTCATTCTCACCTCATGTGGTACATGTGGTGGAGCGAAATTATGTCCACAGGGTCCCAGTTACATCCAACAATAAAATGTATAAGAAAAACAGTAATAACATCTAAGATATGAAGTAAGAAAAACATCAACTAAATATACACTAAGCACTCATAACATAAAACATTGAACATCAGCACAAACATGAACATGAGTCTGTGAGCAGATGTGCACGCATGAACACATCAACATTGAAACAGATCAGCAGCAACATGAAACAGATCAGCAGCAACATGATATGGTTTTTCACAGTGATTATTCTAGTTAGAGATTCATGAGTCTAACAGCCTCAGGGTAGAAGCTGTTCCTCAGTCTAGTGGTTCTACACTTAATGCTCCTTAACCTCCTTCCTGAGGGGAGTGGGGCAAAAAGTGTGTGTGCTGGGTGAGTGAGGTCCTTCATGATGCAGGTGGCCCTCTTCCTGCATCTGGAGGTGTAGATGTCTGTGATGGTGGGGAGGCTGATTCCGACAGATTTCTGTGCAGCCTTCACCACTCTCTGCAAAGCTTTTCTTTCTGCAGCTGTGCAGCCTCCATGCCACACGTTGATGCTGGAGCACAGGATGCTCTCCACTGCACACCTGTAGAAGGAGGTGAGGACTGAGCTTCCCAGACCAGCTCG